ATAATAGATTGAAACAACTCACGATTATAATTAAGATAATGAGGAGAATAAGAAGATGATGAAGAAGAGAATAAAAAAAGGGGAAATATATAAAGTTCTCATCTAAATTTGAAACAATAAGATGATTATTAAGAGATGTGTTTAAAAAATTTACTATTAATAAAATTTCATTCACCAAACACAGACAGACAGACAAACAGACAGACAGACAGACGGAGACAGGCAGACAGACTCACACGATTATGATTAAAAAAACAATTTATTACAAATTATTATCGAAATTATTTTTATCAGAACTCGACACCCCCACTCTACCCCACTCTGAGATATGTAAAACTGCAATTACCCTGAAAGAAATTTACGATGGAAAACGATACAAAAACCAAAAAAAAAGAAAGAAGAAATCGATAAAAATTGGGACCACTTTCCTCATATCAAAAATACCGAAATACAACATCATGAACTATATACTTTAAGTTGCAAATGAAAATGAAGATAAAGATGAAGATGAAAATGATGCAGATGAAGAAGAAGAAGAAGAGAAGGAAGAAGATAAGTTAGAAAACAAAATGAAACCAATAAAAAGTGGTACAACTTCCTCATATAAGTACGAGTAATATTAAAATATACTGAATAAACAAATTCACGAAGAATAAACTTTAAGTTGCAGATGAAAGTGAAGATGAAAATGAAGAAGAAGAAGAGAAGGAAGAAGATTAGTAGAAAAAGAAAACAAGAAATCAATAAAAAGTGGTACAACTTCCTCATATAAAAAATACCAAAAAACAACTTTATATACTTTAAGTTGCAGATCAAAATGAAGATAAAGATGAAGATGAAAATGATGCAGATGAAGAAGAAGAAGAAGAGAAGGAAGAAGATAAGTTAGAAAACAAAATGAAACCAATAAAAAGTGGAACAACTTCCTCATATAAGTACGAGTAATATTACAAAATATTGAATAAACAACTTCATGAACTATATACTTTAAGTTGAAGATGAAAATGACGATGAAGATGAGTATGAGGATGAGGATGAGGATGAGAATGAGGATGAGGAAGAAGAAGAGGAAGAAGATAAACAAGAACAAAAAAAGAAACCAATAAAAAATGGTACAACTTCCTCATACAACAAAAAATACCAAAAAACAACTTCACGAACTATATACTTTAAGTTGCAGATGAAAATGAAGATGAAGATGAAGATGAGAATGAGGAAGAAGAAGAAGAGGAAGAAGATAAGCAAGAAGAAAAAACTAAAAAGAAGTTATAACGAAGCGAGAGTGCCCTAGAGCATGCAGTTTGCAACGAAGGAACTGCAATGTGAGGTGGGAGCAGAAATGTTGGGTGGGGATGGGAGGAGAGAGGGGAACCTTTCCCCCCTGGGGAAGGGTTCATCGTCGGCACGAGGAAGAGGAAAAGGTTTAAGAAGAAGAAGCAGAAGCAGAAGAAGACGAGGAAGAAGAAGAAGAAGAAGGAATACCTAAAAGAGTGGTGGGGGTGGGGGAAAGGGAAAAGAAGCATAAAGTAGGGGGAAAGGGAACACAAGGAAGGAGTATAAGTATAGTAAGTTAAAAAGAGAGAAGAAGGTTCTTAAGTATAGTGGGTTATGTGTGCAGGACAGGGCAGGGGAGTAGGGAAAGGGGGTGGTCGGCAGGAGCCAGAAAAGAAGATCAGAGAGGAGGGGATGAGGGAGGAATGGGGAGAGGGGGAAAGGGGGAAGAGGGGAGGGAATTGAAAGAAGAGATAGGTAGGATTAGAGGTGCGTGAACGGGGAACGTTTCTCAGTCGTACAAGATACTCGCTTACCTGACGGATTCACAGAAGATCGGGTGCCTTCGTTGGAACCGGTCGTGTTTCTGACGTTGCTCTGTTGCTCAGAGTTGCTTTTCGTTTCTTTTACTGTTGGTTGATTGGTTGGTTGCTGTTACTACTGCAGTTTTGCAGTTACAGTTTGCAATTGTACATTGCAGTTGTAGTTTGCAGTTTTGTAGTTTGGCAGTTTTGCAGTTTTTGCTGTTGCTGCTTGTCAGTGGTCGATAACCTGAACGGAAGGACGCTCACGCGAAACACGCATTTACACACACATGCATTTATACATACACACGCATAAGTGATTTTTTTTTTTCTAGTATTTATATTTTGTCATTTTCTTTTTTTTTTGTATTTTATTTTATTGCTGAATTTGAAAGAGAAAACATGTTGAATTTTGATTATCACTTTAGTGAATTTTTGATCAGAGTATTAGAAAAATATAAAAATTTGTTTATTGTTATTCAGTTATTGGGTTAATTGTTTATTATTTTATTAATTTATTATTCGACGATATTTCTGTTACGAGAAAGGATTTTATAGTTTTGATCAGTGATTTGAAATTGTGATACCAAGGATTTGTTAATTGTATTTTTTGTTGTTGTTGGTGTTCTTATTGTTTTTTTTTTTTTTTTTTTTTTTTAATTTTATGGGAAAAAAGAAATAATAATAATAATAATAAAAAGACAAGAGTGATTAAATAAAAAGTAGTTTAAATATCAGTGTTATTAACATGAACGGCGGACCCAATGTGGATGTTGTTTGGGATCCCCAAACTCAAATGAATTCTTTGGATTGTTGGGATTATTCCATAGAATTGGCCTGTCTTCAAGGACCCCAAGGTATACTTTCCCAAAAAAAAAAACAAAAAAAAAAAAAAAACAATTAAAAGATGAAAACAATTTTATGGGATTTTTCTCTTTAAAATTTTGTGAATGAAAATGGGATAAATAATTTTGAAATAAAAGAAACTATAATAATAACAGAAAGAGAGAGAAGATGAAAATTTGTGTTACGTTGGTTCCTTCTTCTTTTTCTTTATTTTATTTATTTTTGTGTGTTTTTTTTTTTTTTTTGCATTGCTTCATATTCGTGCAAAGGAGAAAGAGAATGAGTGAGTTAGTGAGTGAGTTAGTGAGTGAAAGAGAGAGGGAAAATCCTGTGAGCTTGTTAACGAGGGAACGATGTCAATGCTCGTACAGACGAGAAAGGGCTTCGTTCAGTTAAAAAGGGATTAGGAAATTCTTAGACATGTCAAACAAATGTTTCTCTATTTTTTTTATTTTTTTTTCTAACTCTTAATTTTTTATTTTTTATCGTCTCTTAATATTTGTTGTTTTTTTTTTTTTTTCGAAATTTCATTAGAAAATCGTTGTTTATTATTTTATATTATTTTTGATTATAATTATTTGTATATAGTTATATATATTTTTTGTATAATTTTTAAAATTGGTTTTTTGTATTTAAATTTAAACCAGTACGAAGTAGACTATGGTTCTGATTCCATTCTCATATATTCGAATATTAATTATTTAATTTATTCAAATGTATGTGCGATTTTCTATTCTTAATTGTTAAATATAATTTAATTAATATTATCAATAACATTGATGTTAAATCTAATCTAATAAAATAATCTAATAAATAATCTAATAAATTATTTTATCTATTATTAGGGGTGCCCTGCCACGCGTAACTGTGGCTCACAATCAATCCGATACACACGTTTTTAAGTCAACGAATTACCTTATATCGAACTAATAGAGATAATCATGACACTTTGTTAATAAACAAATAATATTACGATTATAAATTAAGATATATCCTATCTTTCAAGTTGGATAAAACTGCACACAGTGTGCAAAATTTAATTAAAATCGATTCAGTAGTTTAGGAGTTCATTGCGGACAAACAACGTGACACATAATTTATATAGATTAATATAAACTATCTTATCTTTCAAGTTGGATAAAACTGCACACAGTGTGCAAAATTTGATTAAAATCGATTCAGTAGTTTAGGAGTCCATTGCGGACAAACAACGTGACACATAATTTATATTTTTTTTAGATGTAAAGTAATATATTTTTGTATGTTTTATTTAATATACACTTATATATAATTATTCCTTTTATCATTATGATTATAATCAATTTTTGATTAAATGTACATTTCGTGTGAACGATCTTTGTATTGATTATCATCAAATCGATTAGAATACCAAAATAGTTTTGATAACGATCAAACATGATCGTTCAAAAATAATATTTTCATTTCAGTAGCAAATAATTATACACACGTATAGAAAATTATTGTATCTTTTTTTCAATGGGATAATTAATTCAATAAGAAGAAAATGAAAAAAAAAAAAAAAAAAAAAGAGAGAGACAAAGAGAAAAGAGAAAGTAAAAAAAAAAAGAAAAATAAGGATAAAAAAGAACTAGGATACACTTTGAACTTGATAATAATTAAATGAAACATAATACTTGAGACTTCATTTTACGATGCATATATGCACGTCATATGCAATTCTATTTCCCTCGCAAGGTCATTGTTTAATTCATCCCATCTATATTTAATGAATAAAAATTAGATTTAACTTAAGTATAATGATAAGTATTTTAAAATATGCATATACTTTGTTCGAATAAATTCGTCAAAATATATATTTTCCCAAGCTTATGTTATTTACATTTATATGTAATATGTATAATAAAGATGTAAATGCATAAGTGTAATTGTTATTATTAAAAATATTCTCAAGAAAAAAAAAAACAGGATGTAACTATCTTTAATGAGATGTAAAGGGAAATAATTTAGTATAAAAATTGTTTGTTTATTAGTTGCATATTAACATATTTATATATAGAATATTATAATATTAATAATTAATATTTTATATTATATATATACTATGTGTGTTATATATGTTAATATATAAATAAAATATATAAAATAAAAAATATAATATATAAATATATATATTAATTTATAAATCAATTTATAAAATTAAATTAAAATTAAATTAAATTACAAAAAAAAAAAATTAAATTATAAAATATAAAAAATATATATTATAGATATATATATATATATATATAAATGTCGATGATTTACGTTAAATAAATATTAAATTAATAACAAACAAAATTATATATATATATATACATATTGAAATATTTGTTACAGATCTTCAGTTAGCAGCGGAACTTGGCAAAACTTTGTTAGAACGAAACAAAGAACTCGAAAATATTATTAAAATTCATCAATCAACGATCGAGGAACAAGCACAAGAAATAGAAGTAAGTTTTATTCTATAAAAAAAAAAAAAAAAAACATAAAAAATAATTAAATAAACTTTAATTGTTTATTTATTTATTTTTTCTCATCTACTTCTTTTCATTTTTTTTTTTTTACTAACAATAAGCATCGTTTTGTATCTTTAAGATTAAATTAATGATCGTAATAATTATTGAATTATTTGATGCAATTTATTCTAATTTATTCTAATTTATTCTAATTAATTATTATTATTATCCGTAGTATATGAAGAAGCAAACTGCCGCATTGAGGGAAGTCAATGATTCGCGTCTTAAGATTTATGAACAATTAGAAGTCAGTATACAAGATTTGGAGCGTGCCAATCATCGTTTGGTCGTCGAGAATACTGGCGATAAAAAGCTTATAAAAAAGTACGTTTATTTTTTTATATTTACCATTCTTTCAAATTACTTCCCTTCCCACCCACCCCCTAACTCTCCCTCTCCCACTCCCTTCCCCATTAATTAAAAATACAAAATAATTTATCATCATATTATTATTCATTCAATTAACACGTGTTTGTTGAATATACATATATAATATTTTTATTATTAATATTATTATTATTAT